GGGGGTGGTGGCTGCTGTGAGCAGCTCCCTATCAGTTCAGGGGCCTGGGTAACCATTGCCAGACGGTGGCAGCAGCGGCAGGTGGGAAAGGGTTGGATTTACAGGCACGGGGGCTTGTGCGGGGCAGGACGAGCCATTCCAAGGTCACTTTGTGGTGTGGGGCTGCGGGAGGTTCGGCCTGGCAGGACAAGAGGGGCAAGGAGAAGTCGGCAACCAGCTCCGGTGGGGAAGGTGGCAGCGAGGGGAGCGGCGCCACCGCGTGTCACCTCCCCTTCCTGCAAGGCGCCCTTCCCAGAAACCCCCCGGCGGGAACACGGCCCTTCCCGAAGCCCCGCGGGGATCCCCCCGCTCCCGGCCCCTCGAGAAAACCCGTCCCGCAGCAGGGAGAGGATCCGGAACAGAAAGCAGAGACACAAGGCGCCCCAGGGGACCCCACAGCCCTCCCTGAAGAATTCCTTGCGGGATAAATCAAGAGCAGGACGTTCCTAGAAACCAGCAGCAACCCTCAAACAAAACCCACGCTGAAACCAGAAGCGGCCAAGCCTTCCTGCAGCCCGCAGAGCTGCATCTCTGCTGCAGCCCCAGGCAGCCCTGCCCTCCTCACCCCGGGGGGTGCAGGGCTGGCTCCGCCGGGCTGGAGGTCGGAGCCAGGATGTGACAGAGGTGGGGAAGGAGTCCCGGGCCCCCCTGCCCCCCGGCGTAGGGCAGCAGTCCACTGGGTTGGCCTGAGACTTTAATTCCGCAGGGCAGCCAACCTGGGAGGGAGAGCAGGAGAGGGGAGTGAGGTAAGAGCAGCAAGAAAGAGGGGCAATTCCACAGGAGCCTTCAGCAGGGAATGTCACTGCCTAGAAGCCTCCCTCCTGCAGCAAGGAATCCTGCCCTGCACCCGCAGCCAGGGCTGCTCTGTCCCCAGATGGACCCGGGTGGTGGGTGGGTGGAGAGAGGAAGCTCCATTGGCTTCTCCTGGGGCAGTTCCAGGGAGGCAGCCTGTTCCCAGAGCTGTTGGAAGGTCACTGCCAAGCATTCCCAGAGCAGCAGCAGCTGCGTGAGGGCGAGTGTGGAGAAGGGAGGGACTGTTCTGCACCCCAGTGCTGAGGACTCGCTGCCAAGTGCCACCCCCAGGCCCAGAGTGGCACCAGAGCCCCCATAGCCCCCTTGCCAGGCTACAGGGGGTCCCAGGGGACTGCCAGGCTCAGCATCCCCTGGGATGGGCTACCTCATCCCCTTCCTATCAGTGCAGGATCCCTGGGAAGGATTCAAACCACCTGGGCAGAAGGGCAAGGACGCAGGAGAGGAACCAACCTCCGGGAGAGCTGGTCCTCCTGGCTGCGCACGGAGCTCTCCCCCACTGCCGAGGCCCCCTCGGGGAGCTGGTTCAGCTGGTCCATGATCTCCAGGCCATTCTCCTCGGCGATCTGGACGATGAGGCTGTCCACCTGCTCCTGGGGCGTGGTCAGGGTGGTCGCAGAGCTCATGGAGTCCTCCATCACCTGTGGCACAGCTGGCCTGTCACCACCCTGGGCCACCAGGAAAGCCGCTCACCCAGCCCAGCTCCTCCCCACAAAGAACCAGCTGCAGATCCCACATCCCCATGGGCCAGAACACTGGGAAGAGCTCAGGGGGTTTCCTGGGTCCCCAAGGGAGGACGGAAAGCTGTTGCAGAAGCCAAATGGCAGCTGGGACAAGCCCAACCACCCCCCAGCAGCCCAGGGACCACCAGCACTCGACCATGTTCTGAGCCTGCTGCTCAAATTTATCCATCACCGCCGACACCTTCTGCAGATCCATGGAGCTCAGAGCCTTGTCCAAGGCCTTGGTCACCTGGGCCATGTTTTTCGTCACCTGCAAGAAGAGACTGCTCTGCAGCTGCTCCCCAAAGGGCAGGGATGTCCCTGCTTGTCCCAGGCTGCGCTGGAGCGAGAGGAGCTGAGACAACAGGACCCTTTCTGGGAAAGGGGGCTGGAGGCAGGGAGAGGGGAAGAGCCGAGGTGGGCTCTCCAGGGACACAGCCCCTCTCAGAGCCCTGTGCCCACCTGAGGCCCTTACCCCCTTCATGGTGACAGCTGTCTGGACCTTGGAGGCCACGGCGTCCACGCGGGAGGACATGCGGAGCCAGTTGAGCCCCTCGTTCTTCTTGCGGATGGCGTTCTCGGCGTAGACACGGGCACACTCCACATTCTTCTGCTGCAGGGCCTGGGGGCAACGGCAGACACAGAATCCCCCTCAGGTTCTCACACTCGGGGGCCCCGCCTCACCCCCACAGCCCTTCAGCCGGGGA